AAAAGGTCCTCTGCGAAACTCAGAGCACCTGATTTTTCACCCTCTGTCTCTGCAAGTCCGGCGCGGCGCCGAAGCCCGTGAAGAATGGTGTGAAGATACCCACAGCTATGCTACCGGGCAAAGACGACCTCTGGTCTGTGAGCACCTCTGACAACGCCACGTCCGCTTCCACCGGGTCCAAAGCGCGCCCGAACTCTCCCTCCTCGGAACGGCAGTCGCGGGCGACGCCGAAACAAGCCCTGTCTGCGCTCCCGCTGCTCCCCCCTTCGCCACCACAGGACCCGCAGCAGCCAAAGTACATGGACAAGGGCAAGGGCCGGGCGCTCGCGCGGAAGAAGAGCAAGATGCTGGGCGGTGACGACGAGGAGGACTCGGAAGACGAGCCGGGCGGGGCTGACCTCAAAGTCAAAGAGCTTCCGTGGCGGTGGCACCGGCACCGAAGCCAGGGTCAGGCGGACACTCTGCCGCGCGAGGGCCCTGAGCCTGAGCCGGACTCTGAGCCGGACTTTGAGCAACCTCTAATCCGTGTGCGTGCGGAAGACGACCCGGGAGAGCGCTTCGAGGTGCGGCTGCCCGACGACCTGAGACGCGTCCTCGCGCTCAGCCCGCCGCCACACGCCGCGCCCGAGGCGGAAGGCGGAGGGAAGCTCGTGGACGGCCTCCTGTACGGGCGGCGCGCGCACTACGACGCGAGCCGCGGGGGCGAGGTGTGGGGCGCCGGCGAGTTCAGCAGCGGGTGCGAGGACGGGGTGGTGCTGGCGGGAGCCAAGGGCGAGGAGGGCGAGGAGGAGTGGGAGGGCGAGCCGGTGCCGTGGGAGGTTGCGGAGATGTAGACGACGATTGGCCGCGCATTAAGCTTTAGAGCTCCGTAGCGTCTCGAATATTACATGCCCGTACGTGCGGGGATAATGTCGCTTGGAGGCACACCCGGCACGTGGTCCGGCGATGCAGACGCCACATGCGACTTGCGTGCTGCCCTCCACGCGCCCAATGTCTCCAACCTTGCGCCGCAAGCATGTCGCAGCGGGACAAGGATGGAAAAAACAGAGACAAGTGTCCCATCCACCGCCGAGCCGAAGACGGCAAAACAGAGACAACAGTCGCATCCCCCGCCTCGCCGTTCACGCATGCCGCCGACCCCTGCGGGCCCCCTGCCTCGCACACTTCATGTCCCGCCGCCTTGCGTCCGGGGGACTCCAGCTGCACCAGCTGCACCGCCTCCACTGCACAGCCTGGCTGCGAGATGAGATAGCAGGCGCATCAGACGTGCTCGCACCCATGTCTTGTTCGACGTTATATCTACCAGCAGGGCCCTTGTGTGGGCACTCACTTTCCATAGGTCTCGCGACTGCTCCGCACAGCCGCTTTCAACTCTTTCACAACCCTCGAGATATCGCGCTCTAGTCGCAGATACCAGGTGCGTACAGGGTCGCTTGCAGATCGTATCGTCCCTCTAACCTGGCGTGCAATTCCAGGTCGTGTGCTTACCTGCCGTCCGTCTCGTGCCTCCTCTCCCTCCATAAGCCCCGTCATCCCTCTCCAGCTCTCCCACCATCTCGCCACTCGCACCTCCTTCATACAGCGCCTCACCTTCCAATAAGTAGCCCTCAAGTGGACCACTGCGAGAGACCGCCATGACTTCGTCTTCACCCACCCCCAGCCTGCAGCGCCGCAGCTCGCTCAAGGACTACTTCGCCAACGGGGTCCCGCGCCTCCCCAGCCTCCGCTCCCGCCGCTCCAACGCTTCCATCACCTCCGTCAACGCCCTCGCACACGGCAAGGACCTCTCCACGTCCTCGTCCGGCTCCAAGCACGCCCCGTACGCCGTCCACCAGCAGAACATGGCCCCGATCATCCTCCGCGACGCCGACGCCACGGCAAAGCTCCTCGAGACCATCTTGGTGTCCCAGGGAGGAAAGAGGAGCCTCGCGAGACTTGCGAGGACGTGCAAGGCCTTCAAGGAACCCGCCCTCGACGTGCTGTGGAGGGACCTCGATAGCTTCGTCCCGCTCGTGACGCTCTTCCCGGCCACGTTGCTCAAGCGTGCGCGGAGGCCGGCCCTCGGATTCGTACGTCACACTTTCTTCTTCTTCTTCTTCTGCTTCTTCCTGCCGAGTGTTCACCAGAGCTGCTGCGTGCTCAACAGGCCAGGAACCCCGAGGACGCCGACTGGGACAAGGCCCTCGCCTACGGCGAACGCGTCAAGAACATCCAGTTCGTCGAAGCCTTCAACGCCTTCTCGCAGTCCATCTTCCCCGTGCTCGCGACCTGCCCGCGCGAGCACCTCCTCCCGAACCTCACCGCGCTCACCTGGAAGGCCGAGTCGGCCCCGGGCCTGAACTACCTCCGGCCGTACCTCGCCCCGCCGCTGCGGAGCTTCACGCTCGAGATGGGCGTGCGCGCGCCCAAGATCAACGACCTGCTCGACGAGGTGATGGCCAAGACGCAGCTCTCCCAGTTCTCGTTCACGCTGCACAGCAACCTGCCCGAGTCCTTCGTCGACACCGTGCGCCCGGCGGCGCGGCTCGAGAAGCTCGCGCTGCTCGCTCCCGGCGCGCTCGCCGCGCGCGTCGGCATGTGGGCGAGCTCGCTCCCGCTCCTGCGCAGCCTCGCGCTCGACCTGAGCAACCAGAGCCTGCGCGCCGTCGACGGCTTCTTCCACGACGTCGCGCCGCAGCCCGGCAGCGGCTACAGCACGCCGAGCAGCCTCGGCCACGACTCGGGCGTCTTCTCGGGCGACGACGACCTGAACGTCGTCGACTTCAGCGACGTCCGCCGCAGCATCGTGCGCCTCACGAGCGACGGCCCCGCGCGGCACACCGCCACCACGGGCGCGTTCGCGCAGCTGACGGCGCTCAGCCTCGCGGGCGAGGCGGGCACGCTCGCCGCGTTCCTGCGCCACCTCGGCAGCCCGCTCGCGCAGCTCGAGCTCGCGGTCGAGGACCCGCCGCCGCGCGAGGACTGGCGGGACCTGTGCGCGCTGCTGGGGACCCACTTCGGGCAGACGCTCCAGACGCTCAAGGTCGCGGCGACGAGCACGGCGCGGTTCAACGAGCTCGTGCGGTCGACGTCGCGCGCGGGCGACGTCGCCCTGCAGCGCCTGCCGCTCGTGCACCTCGGCCGGCTCCCGCACCTGCACCGGCTCGAGATCGAGCTCGCAGAGAGCGCCGTGTTCCACAACGAGGACGTCGCGCACCTCGCGCGGGCGTGCCCGAACCTCGAGGTCGCGCGGCTCTGCGGCCAGGCGCGCTTCCCGCCCGCGGCGGGCCCGCCGCCGCTCACGCTCGAGGGCCTCATCCCGCTCACGAGCGCGTGCGCGCGCCTGCACACGCTCGCCGTCGTCGTGCACGCGGCGGACGCGGCGGACGCGACGTTCCGCGTGCGCGAACACTCGTCGCGCGCGCTCATGCGGCTCAACGTCGGGCACTCGTGGGTCCGCGACCCGCTCGCGGCCGCGGTCCTCCTCAGCCACGTCGCGCCGCACCTCGAGATCCTCCGCTGGTTCGCGCCCGCGACGCGCTCCGGGTCCGTCGAGCGCCACGCGGAGGCGTGGCAGAAGGTGCAGGACTGCCTGCCGCAGCTCCAGCGCATGCGGCTCATCGAACGCAGTCTCGTGCCGAGGCCTGTCGTGGCCGAGCCGCCGAGGAAGGCGGACAAGGAGGTGGATGCGACGCCGGTGACCGTGCAGAGGGGCGTGCTGGTGCGGCCGGTGTATGTCGACAGTGAGATGCAAGTCGAGGTGCCGGAGAGGGTGGAGATGGAGGTGCAGGCCCTACCAGAGACGTCAGAAGAAGAAGTCGACGCGACGCCAGTCCTGATGGACGCAGAGGTCGATGCTGTTCCGCAGGTTTTGGAACAAGCCATCGAAGCTGCACCAGAGGTCGACGAAAAGGCGATCGATACGTCGGTCAGGCCCCAGGTCGGTGCGGAAGAGCAGATCGTCAGCCCGACAGAGAGCTCAGTCTCAACACACTCGAGCATAATGACAGCGTTCGTCCCGTCGGTTCATGGGATCGTCACGCTACCGTTCCGCGCGGTGCGGGTCTACACCTACTACCTTTCGCTGCCGCTGCGCTATATGTTTTCCTTTACTTCACCGCTTATGCCCTCCCTCGCGAACTATGCTGCAAACATGCAAAACGAGCCGAAGAGCCCATCGGAAAGCTCAGACTCGCCACAGTCTATGGAACCCATGAGCCCTTCTTTTACCTCACACGAAAACACTAACGGAAACGCCTCTACGCGCTCAATTGTTGGTCACTGATCCCCTCTTCGCCGTCGCATACATATACTTATTTACTGTCTTGGTGCTGGACACTGCTATCGTAGGACGTTAGGCCTAATACCATGCGCATTTCCTCTCTTTTGCGTGAGCCTAAAGTTGAAGCGCCGAGTCTCCGAGTCGAAAGCGCGCAACGCCAACTTGCACGCCTGCCTAACTGGGGCGAGGCCGTGGCCAAAGAGGCGCCCGAGGACGCATTGCGCGCGACGCGTCAGTCAGTGCTGCCACTGTTCGAGCCACGCTCGCACTCGTCTTTCGCCTCCACCTGGTTTACTCGGCCGATCCAGTTCAGAAGATACGACATGGCTGACCCCAAGAAACAGGAGAAAGATTTCACAAAGGAGGTCGACGCCATCGTCCCAGAGGCCCAGAGCATCGCCAAGGTGTGTGCCGCCCTTTGACAGAACGTGCGGTCAGTGCTGAGCGCATGCTGCGGACCAACAGGCCGGCCAGCTGCAGGAGGCAGTCGACAAGCTCTTGGTGCTCGAGAAACAGACACGAAACGTGCGTGCAGACCCCCGCATACGCTTTTGCTCGTAATAACCCCGCACCAGGCCTCTGACCTCGCTTCGACAACCCGGCTCGTGAAAGAGATCAGCCAGCTGTGCTACGACGCCCGTGACAACGGCAAGCTGAACGCAAACATACAGCTGCTGAGCAAGAAGCATGGGCAGCTCAAGGCTGCGATACAGGCCATGGTCGAGCAGGCCATGGACTGGCTCGAGGAGATCAAGCAAAGGGACGGCACGGAGAGGTGGCTCGAGCTCATCGACACTCTGCGGTCGGTGACAGAGGGCAAGGTCAGTCCTTCTAAGGTCCACACGCACACACGAGACTGAACACCTCTGTAGATTTTCCTCGAGACACCGCGAGCACGCGTCACCCTCCTCCTCGCCCACCACCACGAGTCGCTCGCCAACTCACCGACACCTACCTCGCCACCGCGGAAGGAGAGCACACAGACGGCCTCAGACCTGCTGTCTGAGCTCCAGGTGGAGACGTACTCGTCCATGGAGCGCCGCGAGAAGACCGAGTTCATCCTCGAGCAGATGCGCCTCCTCATCCTGGTCGCAAAGGAGAAGGACAAGGAGAAGGGCGTCGAGGGCCAGAAGGATGCTGTCGTCGGCGGTGAGGCAGACTGGGTCAAGGTCCGCGTCGGTGGCAGGAAAGTCAGCGAGAAGTTCCTTGAGGAGAAAGAGAACGAGGTGCGTATCGGGCCCCATGCGTCCGAGTGTATGCAGCTTGACGTGTTCTTGGCAGGACCTCAAACTCAAGTACTACGACCTCATGATCCAGTATGACCTCCAACATAGCGAATACCTCCCCGCGGCGAAGCACTACTACAAGGTCTGGGAGACGCCTTCCATCAAGGCAGAGGAGAATGGCCGTGGTCGCCAAGTATGTTCGCGAACAGTGTTGTCAGCATGCATGCTAAACATCCTTTCAGGCACTCGAACACATCATCTATTACGTCGTTCTTGCGCCGCACGACAACGAACAGTCTGACATGCTCAATCGCCTGTACAAGAACCCAGCGCTGGAGAGGCTTGCCCTGCAGTGGTGCGTATTCGCCGCAACCAGCTCGTTCACGTTCTCATAGCTTCCTAGTGCCCTTTCAAAGTGCTTCGTGACACCAGAGATCATGCGATGGCCTCACATGGAGGCGCTCTATGGCCCCCACCTGCGGGATACAGACGTCTTCAAGGACGACAAGCGCTGGGAGGATCTGCATACCCGCATTATCGAGCATGTACGTGTACTTTGCCTTCCGTACAGCTATTTCCGCAAGCTGACTGCTCCTCAAACCAGAATATCCGCACCATCGCCCAATACTACACTCGCATCAAACTGCCTCACCTCACCACCCTGCTCGACCTGACATTACCGCAGACAGAAGAGACCCTTTGCCGTCTGGTCGTGTCAGGGACAGTCTGGGCGCGGATCGACCGGCCGGCCGGCATCGTCAGCTTCCGGCAAGCGAGGACGGCAGAAGACGTGATGAACGACTGGAGTTCGGACATGTCAAAATTGTTGAACCTCGTCGAGAAGACATGGATGGGTGTGAACGCTGCTCAAGCTGCGCAGGCCCGAGCGAAGGCAGTGGCGGCTGCATCATCGTAAGGGATGAATCTTCGTTGTCCCGCATGTAGAGTATTCTTGCTATGGATTGATTTCCCATTGCTACTATGGACCTGCAAGCAAGTTGTGGTCGATACCATTAAGAGCGTCCGCGGTAGGTGTCTAAGTTTTTGGGTAAATGGATACCTTGGTCGTCGACGTGTACTCTTCGCTACCGTGTCAAGACGCCGAGGAAGTCCAGCTTCGCTAGCCGCTTCTTGTCCAGCTCTTCCTCCGTGACGGGTGCCCGGCCACCCGGGGACACCGACAGCTGGTGTCTCGACAAGACCTCCGGGTGTAATGGCAGACTTGGTTTCGAGAGCGGGCGAGTACGTCGGCCGGATGCCTTCCCGCCAGAGCCGCACATACCCATGGCCGCGCGTCCACTCTCGCGGCACGCCGCCCGTCTTCTCGATGATCATGCGCCAGCGTTTCCGCGCGATCGTCTCCGCAATGTCCTGCTCCTTCGTCATCTTCCACGTCTCGAACAGCTTCTCCTCCTTCGCGAACGTCTGCTGGACCAGCGAAGGCCCGAACTGCATCCCGTACTGCTCGGCCTCGAGCAAAGCGATGTGGCTCGTGACAGAGTACTCGGAGCGGAGGGCGCGGAACTGCGTGACCGCGGCGCCATACGCTTGGTTCAACGAGTAGCTGTGGTGCTCGTGCAGATTCACGGCGAATTTTACGGCGCTGTGTGCAGCTCGTGAGACTGTAAAAGCCAAACAACAGAAGCGATGCAACACACTCTTCGGGCGTCGGGTTCCTTCCACGCTGGCTGAGACGCGTCCACGCCTCGCCCTGTATCGGGTGTTCAAGATCAACCCCTCCGTCCTCCACGATCGACTTCGGGCGGTAGGCCTCGAACGGGTGGTCCTCGAAGAACTGCTTGCGGAGCTCGTCCTCGATGTACGCGACCTGCATCGGCTTCGGGTCGAACGGGCGCGGGCGTCGCGGCGGGACCGCGCGGGCGGCGGACTGCTGGTGCGTCGGCAGGTCAAAGTCGCTGCGCGGCGCGGAGCCGCGCGCGGGCACCGGCAGCGGTGGGTTGTCGAGCACGGCCTGGAACCATTTCGGCTCCTGCTTGATGAACCGCGCGAAGAGCAGCCGCGACGCCTGCTTGTGGACCTGGTTGGCAAACCGCCTGGGCATCGCGCAGGTGCTTCGCCGAAGAGTGTGGTAGAAGTGAGAGGAGGCTGTTGGGACAGCCGGCGGAGGTGTTTTGGTGAAAGGTTGGCCGGGCGGCGGAAAGAGTGTTGTCCAAACAGGCGCACACAAATCCCGCTGTCCATTGACAGGCGCCTGGATTTTCGCTGGGTAGCGACTCAGCGAGCTCATTTCGATTTACCGTGCCATACGCGAGCTCATCACTCCGTTTTTGCTTTAATTTACTCCATCTCGATGGAAAAGGAAGTGTACATGTACGTACGTTCGTGCCGGTTCTCAGATGGCTCCTCGCGGGTCTCCGAAGCCTCGAGGTAGTGTGGTGACACGGATATCTGATTAGATATTCACAATCCTGTCAATCTGCCTTAAATTACAGCGTATCTGATTAGATACTGAGTCGTTTCTACGCAGCACACACTGGGTGAGGGAGGGAACAGCCAGCGAGAGATGGAAGTCCTCCCTTCAGGTAACGGCACGGTCAGAACGATCTCAATGTTGCTCTGAGCTTCCACGCCCAAATTTCATCCTGGCAGATACAGCCCTAGTCTACATCGCGAGCACCAGCAAGAGATGCCCGATATGCATGCGAGAGGTCATCTCAAGGTCACCAACACCGCTGCGCACCACCGGGACAGGGTATGAGACTTCGCTCTCGCTATGGCAGGCTATCGGACAGTATACCGACGACATTTGAGCGCTCTACTGCAGCATGCTCGCTTTGCGAGGCCGTCACTGACCGCCGTTCATTACTGCGGGAAATACCAACCCGTGGGTTCCGCAGGGCACATGGACATTTGTTCAAATGAGTAGGAACATTGTTCACGCCGCGATAAACAGAACTGTACTATCCTTGGAATGGGATCTCGGCATGGTGATGTTGTATGATATTTCCAGCGCCATGCGTAAGAAGGTGAAGTCAAATAGAAATTCTGGACGACCCTTAAAGGTGTGTCTGTCCCGTGAAGGAGTTTTCTCGCCTGTGCAAACGATTTTTCAAGCCTTAGCAGAGTGTGTAACAAACCCTGAGTCGACCCACTGAGAACCTAGAAGTCGATACGTATCCTGCGGACCAAAGTCTTGAGTTCAGCGGAACGCGCACGCCGACGAGTACAAGCACAGAGCTACCTTATAATTGTAGGAACAGATACCCAGGGTAGTGAGTACGTTACTGTAACCCACGAGACCCTTCGACCTCCGAGGGCAGTGCAGACGGGACGTGATATATGATCGCCATTCGCACAATGTGGCAGAACTTCGCAGCGCAAGTCTTCTATCTCGATGTGCATCTGTCTGCGGCGTGAACGCCTCAGGTCATGAGGCCCACCGTCATGCTGTGAAGGCGATGAATGAGGTATGGCTTGCTGGAAAACCGGGATGAACTCTGTTAGACAAAACCTGTTGATGAACTGCAGCGTATCACAAGGCCCGCATTTGAAACGCTTACGCGATGAAGAATTACTGCGTGAATACATATTTGTTTTGTCCCAGTACCATAGGAATTCGGTTGGTACTACCTTCGTCCAGAACCCAGAGTCTTGTTGATTTGTGTGCTTGTCTGCACCTCTTCCGTCGCCTCGTGGCTGCGTGTTCTCCCGCTCTTAGCTCTCAAGAAGTAAGCACTATGCAACGCACCCGGCAAGTCCCAAAGGCAAAATAAATTCTATCCTCGTTCACCGCCATGAACAAAGGACTTCTGATGTACGTATGCATAGTCTTGGGCAGCCATAGCCAGCCCAGAGCCTACAGGCAGCGTACGCACAGTGAGACCTGTGAGATGTCCTTGCAATGAGCTACCAATGCTAAGCGAAAGACGAAGGGACCCACTTAAGACACACGGATCAAAGATATCACCGGCGCCGACAAGAATATGCCACTACACTGGCATTATGAACTTCCGGCTTATCGGACAGGAAATCAGTGGCACTAGCTTGAAGGGGACCCTTTGTAGGCTAGGTCGTGGGACGCGGCACGCCTCAACCTCTTGTCCCTGTGCCGTTGGAGAGTTCTCCATGTGTGGCACAAGCACGCCCAGAAGCCACGATAGTATCAGGAGACACGCGGGCAACTGTGAGGTACACCGTTCGGAAGTATCCAGACGGCCCGAGCCAGTAGTATAAAGCCCATAAGTGCCCAAGCTGTGTCCCCAGCAAACTTACACCTGCACCCACATCTTGCTTAGCTCTACTCAACAATCGCGATGGTCAGTGACGCATCTGAATGTGTATGGGACCTGCTCCTCACCACCGTATGCATGTAGCCCGCTCCCGACAACGTCAAGTGCACCACTTCGCAGCCCTCTACCTGCAGCTGGCCCAACTGTGCCTGCGAGGAAAAGAAGTGATACAAGCTGTAGGTGAGTCTTATCACTGGTCATATTCCTAGTAGGCGTTAACACATCGTTTCCGAATTGTTCATGATCAGCAGCATATAACCGTATTGTAGAATCGTAGCACTGCCGTGTCTTCGACGCAGTCCTTGCACGCAATGTAGCATTTCTACCGGAGTTTTGTATATTTGTGTATTATGCCGAACAAGAATCAGCTATCAGAGTGTGTGAATACTATCAATAAACAGTATAACTAAGCGACATACATTGAGGGTTATTAGGCAGGCGGCCCATTTACGAATGGGTCATCTGCCATTGTCTCGTCAAGTAGCGGGCCGCCGCCTAGCAGTGCGTCTCCGGACTGCAACTGCGATATATCCCCTGCGCTCTCAAAGGGCTCGCCATCGGGGCCAATACCGGACATGTCCAGTGTGAGATCGCCATCCAAAACCCCCTCTGCAGGCTTCAAGGAGTCATCAAGACCATCATCTTGCGGTGCAGGCGAGGGGGACGGTGCTTGGAACGAGACGGATAGAGGGTGTGGTTTCGGTGTTGCAGGCTTGGACTCTTCTCTCGGCTGCAGCGGTTCGGACACCTCACGAGAGGCTGGTGCTGTCACGGAGTCTGGTGCAATAGACTTGTTCTCGTCGTCTTGTTCCATCTCATCGTCACCGTCGACCACCTCTGGTTCGTCTGGTAAGGGCGCCAGCGGCTGGTCCGTCTCACCCTCGTCATCGCTGAAGTACTGTACGAATGTTAATCCAAGCTGAGACACATGAAGGCCTGCCACGCACCTGCATCTTGTCTGTCTTGACCCACTTGTACACCTTCAGAGTAGAATTCGGAGGTGCATTATCGGGTAGTGTCCAGACCTTCTCCCAGCATTGCACAGGCTGCATGAGCTGTCTCCTTGACGCCTCCGAGGCTGAGCTGCTAAAACCAACTTTGCGTCTATTAGACATGTCTTTCTGGTTGTTTTCGCGTAAGCGAGAAGGCAGCGTTGTTAGTGTCCGTATGTAAACGAGCTTTCGCGTCAGAGCGCGTCGAACGCGCTTGGGCATTCAAGTTTCCCACGGTAGCCTGTCCGACCTATCAATATCGTGACTACAAGTCTACAACCATGTACGAGATCCATGCTCTCCAGGCGAATTCACCAGACGTAGATCAGACTCTACCCATTATCCTATCGCTATCAAATGAGGTGTTCCAACCCGAGACTCAGTCCAAACACACGTCCCTCGAAGTTTGGAAACAACGTCTATCATCACGATCTTCACTGATTCTCTACGTAACGCGCTCGGGGTTAACCTCGCTTACAAATGTCGAGGACACTATCGCATTTCTGTATGCACACCCCAGGATTAACACGCCACCTCTACGCAACGGGCAGGCCGAAACCCTGCACATCTGGCTTGCAGGAGTGCGTCCCGAGTGCCGCAAGGCAGGCCTTCTACGGATGATGGTCGACAAACTTGTTGAGGGCGCGACGGGTACGGTAACCATCTGCACCATCCCCTCGCGCTTTCCGGACATGTGGACCTGGTTGACGAAGAGGGGCTGGATCGTCGAGCGAGACGCGAGCGAAGGGAGGATCTTATTGAGCAGGTCGGCTGAGGATGTTGCACGAACCACAGCGATCGGAAATGGTGCATACTCTAAGCTTGCTCATGCAGACCGCCGAAGTCGACTAACCAACCTCCTCTGCCCAGCGTAGGACTTCGTCTATGCTAACCGGTATGTCCATGGTTTGCTAGAACCTGGTGTTCAGTTTCATTGTATATGATTTACCGCTTTGGAACATACCGTGCGCGATTTCGCCTCCTGCACATCTTGCATAGCTTCTGGCGCTGGTGACTTTACTGCCCCTTTGTCTGTTCCATCCGCGGTCTCCAGGGCAGAGGAGCTGAGTGCGCTGAGCTTAGCTTCAAGTTCGTCGCATTTACTGTGCAAGTATACATGAATTAGCAATGTCCCCGGAAGTGAAACCGGTGCTTACGCGTGAATATTTTGCGCCTCTTCGCGTCGCAATTCCAGCTGTCTCCGCATCATCATCTCCAAGTTACCTCTAGCCTGCAGGTAGCCTGTCAGCGCCACATAGATGACAGTAGCAAGCGCGAACGAACCTGGACTGGCCGCAGGTCGTTGGCTGCAGCCATGAGGTTCTGCGCCATGACATTTATCCAATCCACGTGTCTGACCCATTCTGGTTGTGCAGTTGGGTAAGAGGAAGTAGGGGGTGGCATCAGAAGCGCATTCAAGAGGTGTGAGTACGTGACGAGCATAGTCTTCATGATGCTGAGGAGTGCCGGTCGTCGGTCTGAGAATCGTGAGTACAGTCCCTATGTTACCTATATCGCACACTCACCAACGCTGGGGTCTGCCGGGTATAATTGATGACCTCCGGACTCAGCCAGCGACGGTATGGTCTCCTTCACCTGGACAGACCCGTCAACCTGCTTTTGACGCGTGCGGGTGAGAATTGCGCACAAACCAGGTATCCCCAAAGACAGTATAGTGTCCATCTTCTAGTATCCAATCCACCCGCGGCTTTTCGAGTTGAATGAGCGGCCAGTCCGGCATATCTACCTGGTCGGACAGGATTTCATGCTGGTTGGCCTGCGTGAGATCCTTATCGCCCGCGCGTTCTCGGATGAGGCGAAGAAGGTTTAAGTTATGGGTAGTATATTTTGTATAATGGGACGGGGGTGCCGGGAACGGATTCCGAAGCTCGGCCTCCTCTTCGTCCATAGTGAGGTCAAGAAACAAGTGTGCATTCAAGCGCTCAAAACCCACAGTTAACGCGGGCACTGGACGATGAATTGTTTCCACTCTAGACTTTCGTGCAGTGCAACGCGTGTATTCAAACACAATGGTGTAAGGTCCGACTCATTAGAAGAAATATAGAAAAGCTATAGGATGTACGCTCTATGCCAAATAAAAGATCCGCCCGCGAACTTGAAGATCGCAAGCTCGGGAGTAACCAGCAGGCCGAGCTTGAAACGAAGCTTGAAATGAACCTGCGAATTATAGCCTGGCCTTCTCTGCCGCCGCCGCCTGCACCTTGAGTTCTCTCGCCTTGTCACGCAGAAATCTCCGGAGCAGTTTGCCGCTGGGGTTCTTTGGAATAGATTCTACAAAGTAGACTCCACCAGCAAGCTTCTTGTAGTGGACTTTGTGGTCGGCAACGTGCTGAAACCGCCCTTGTCAGAGTCATCAGGTAATCATACAGCTGTGTGATACCGACCTTCATCAGAGCAAGCTTGATCCTACCCTCTTCGGCCGCATCCTTTTTCATACGCTCTTGCGCATCGTGAGAAGGCACGATGAACGCGAGCGGAACCTCGCCACTGTATTCGTCGGGAACGCCGACAACACAAGCATCGCCAACGTCCGGATGGTGGAGGAGGTGTCCTTCGAGCTCGGCTGGGGCAACTAGTAATGGCGTCAGCGACTGTGCAGTAGTTACTGGATCAACAGGACGTACCTTGGAAGCCTCGAACCTTCATGATCTCCTTTAGCCGGTCGAGCACGAATATCTCGGCTTTTTCATTGAACATGACTTCATCGCCGGTACGAACCCATCTATCGGGCTTTCCGTCGAAATATAGAAAGGTCTCCTTCGTTCTAAAGCGGATTCATCAATTACAGCCAAACGAAAACAAATACCAGAACATACGCTTCTTCATTGTTGAAGTAGCACAGCGCCAACGTCGGACCCTTAATGAACAACTCCCCTGGCTCATTGTACGTAGCGTATGTTCCGTCCGACTTAAGGACTCGACAGGTATTGCCTTGCAGCAGCTGACCCCCGCTTCCTAGGGTCGCGACGTGCATGTCTATCTGCGGGAAAGTAATCGCCGTCGCGGTCTCTGTCATGCCATAACCCTGGCCGATGGCGGAGTTCGGCAGCCTCTCGCAGTATTGACGGGTGAGCTCCGCGGATAATGGGGCGGCGCCTGACATGCAGAAGGTCACGGATGTAAGATCGTAATTCTTGACGATGGGACTCTGCCAAGGATCTTATCAACATAGCTCAATATATATATATATATATGGAGCGAATGAGATACCTTTGCGAGTAGGACGACCATGGGAGGCACAATCCTGTCCAAGTCAATATCATTAGCAGGCTGTGACGACGATGGACTTACAGTAGGTGGTTTATATGGTATTGTTGGATGTCTTTGAGCATGTCCTCTAAGGTAAAGCGCGGCATAACGACCAGGGAAAACTGACGAATGGAAAATGAGACGCCACATGAGTGAGATTAACGATAAAGCATACCCCAACGAAGATGTAGAAATGCATGACAACAACTAGCCCGTAAATATCTGAGTAGATGTAGTATGAGTCTAGACAGCGCAGGGAAGAAGAGAAGGCTGACGATAAAAGGGAAGGACAGCAAGGACGACCTGTCCGGGCCGGTATCTCGTGGCAGAACCATAGATCTCGTTCGCTTGGCCGTAATATGCCATCTGAATGACATTCGCCAAGACGGCATAATGAGGGACCGCTACAGCCTTTGGTCGCCCAGTCGTACCGCTGGAGAAGCTCAGTAGTGCAATTTTTGTCTTGCCCTCGCCAGGTCCCAGTCGCCGCTCAATATATTGAGGATGCTTGGATAGGCCCACCTGGATAATACCCTCGAGAGTGCAATAAGGTCCAGAGTACCCAGTGGGTGAATCTAAGACAACTATCCGATCGGATGGGATGCCTGCTTGTCGGCAGGCCTCTTCTGCGACCGAAATGCTCCCAGAATGGGTTAAGATAGCACGGGCATTCGTGAGCTGCAGCTGGTAAAGTAGCTCGTCCGCTGTGTAATTCGGATTCGCCGTACTGTCCGAGATAAAATATCAATTATAAGGAGTCCAAGACACACTCAAGTACTGACGTGACGATACCGCCTAGTCTATGGACAGCCCTGAATGACGTGTCAGGCTTGCTCGAGAAACAAGGCCGAGTAAGCTCACCAGAGTGCGGCGGCATAATCTGTACGTCAAGGAACGATTAGTATCTGTCCAGGTGCGAGGGTCAAAACACATACCGACGTGATTTGGGCTGAAGATGCACACTGCGGACAAAACATTTGATGTTAGCTCATGACAGAGGCATGCATAATCTAGAAGGTGCACGCACCAACCTGATCCTCGCCTAATGGAAGTGATGTTAACGAGAAATGAACGCGTCAAGAAAAGGGAAGCTTGACACACCAATGTTCCAGCGAGCCTTCATTTCATTAGCAAGACCAAATGTTCTCGCGCGGATCTTGCCACACGCGGGTTAAGCACCACAGTGCGGATGTAGAACGCGCCTTCTCACCTCTGAGAAATGTACTCCACGTCCTGTAGAGTCCTCGATGAGGACTGGGTTCGCATTCTTGTTTACTGGCCGCGTAGGATGCCAGGAGTCAAGGATGAATTGTGGAAGCGTCACGTCGTCTGGGACGTGTGGGAGTGTCCCGTATGGTGCAACAAACTCGGTGACTTTGTTGGTCATTATCTAAGCAATAATTGCGGAGGGCGGGAGAGAGTCGTCCAGGGTCGGGGACAGAGGACGGAGGACACCGATGTCGCGCTGCCGTGGTATCCTGGTGATATAGGATTCCAGAAATCACGGAGGCAGCGAGCTGAGAGGCACCCCGAGACGCAAAGTGGCGTCAAGGGGAATCATGAGACTGATCATGTCTGTTGACACGGATTCGTCACGGAAGACGGCGTGAAAGACAGTCGGAAACAATATTGCTCGTGTCCCTTAGGCTCCCACGTGACAGCCTGCAAAAAGACGCCAGGCGCACCGACTTGTCAGTCCAAACACTCGACAATCTCACGAAAGAGAAAAATAGTCTAACATTCCGGGCGTCGGTGGTATGGTCAATTACAGAGTACAGAGTGTATCTTGCGGGATCGGCGGTTGCCCCGCCCGAAGCGTCCACCAGAGCGCGTCCCTCAGAGCTTCGCCTTTGCGGGCGGCTTGATACGCATGGAACGAGCTTCGTCGCGGAGAACCCGCCTGAGCAGCTTACCGCTCGGATTTTTCGGAATCTTGTCAATAAATTCCACACCGCCAGCAAGCCGCTTGTATTCCACCTTCGCATCGGCGACATGCTATCAGACGCCAGGCGCAGGTTCCGTGAGATAGGGGCTAGTGGAGCAGAAGAAAATGTCCCACCTTAATTAGCGCAGTTTTGATCCTCTCAGCAGCAGCTGGCTCGCCTTTAATGCGTTCTAAAGCTGCTTCGCTCAACGCCACAAATGCAAGAGGCAGCTCACCGCTGTAGTCGTCTGGAACACCCACGACACAGCAATCCGCCACATCTGGATGATCGAGGAGATGACCCTCAAGCTCCGCAGGCGCCACCTGGAAGCCTTTAACTTTCAGAATTTCCTGAGGAATACACGCAATGAGTCTGAGCCTGATTTCAGAACTTGCGTTTCCTAACCTTGATGCGATCAAGGATGAATACTTCATTCTTCTCATTGACAACGACTTCGTCACCAGTGCGAACCCATCCATCGACGAAGGTTTCTTTGGTGCTGGACGGGACATCAACAGAGGTAAGAAGCTGGATCGGCAACTAATAACTGACGCTTGTGCATTCTTATAGTAGCTCAGAGCTATTGAAGGGCCCGTGACCACTAGCTCTCCTGGTTCACCAAACTTAGCTAGCATGCCATCAGGCTTGACGACCCGAGCTGTAAGACCTGGTATTAAGACGCCTGCGCAACCCGGCGTAGGCGGTAGCACGTCATTGGGGGAAAGGGCAACAGTAGTAAAGGTTTCTGTCAGTCCTGAGGAGCACGAGTCAGCTGTATGTAACAGATAAAAAATTGCACGTCTAACCATATCCCTGGAGAGTATGACACTGAGGCATTATCTTATTAACTTGAGTTGTAAGCTCCGCAGACAGAGGCGCCGCGCCACTCATCATCCATTGAACTGTGCTGAGGTCGTACTTCTTCGTTGCAGGGTGCTAAAGCTGTCGTTTAGTGTAAGAAGCCTGCCGACAATATCAGGCCAGCTTGCCTTGCACAGTAGGACTACCATTGGGGGCACAACGCTGGAGAGAATCAGTCTCACCCTGCTCGCCTAGAAACTTTCACTTACAAAAGGTGCTTAGCGTGGTATCGTTGAATGCTACCCAAGAAGTCCTCGAAGCTGAACTTTGGGACGACAACGATGGTAGCACCCATAAACATGTGGAAGTGCAATTGTACCACCATCCCAAAAACATCTGAAATTCCGTCGAAAATCAAGCATTGAGCGCCACCGCGTTTGACATGACTCACGGAAGAAAGGCAAGACTAGTTGTAGCGGTAATTCAGCATCGTGCAACGTTTATGAATTACGAGAGGGCTTACCGCCAAGTATAACGTCCCCCGTTTGATACCTTGGAGGTTTTCCAATGCATTGCCTCATCTGAATGATATTAGCGAGCATTGAATAGTGGGAAACTTCGACAGCCTTCGGCTTCCCAGTAGTTCCGCTGGAGAAGCACAAGAAGGCGAGCTTCTTCCTGGCCTCACCGGGTGCCAGCCGCCTCTCAACAAAGGCAGGCAGCCTGGACAGACCCGACACGATAAGCTCTTCCACGGTTGAATGAGGAGAACCTGGGGGTTTGGAACCAAGGACGATGATCTGCTCTGGCGGGATGCCTGCACTCTGCGCCGCGGCTTGCGCTGCAGCGAGACTGGTGGCATGAGCGACGAGGAGACGTGATTCGGACAGTGTCAACTGGTGAGCGAGCTCTTCGGCGGAGTACGCTGGATTGGCTGGACTGTGTACGTGTCATCGTCAGAACATGCCCGAACTACTGGGAATATTGTCTCACGTTACGATAGCGCCGAGGCGGTGTACTGCCCTGCGATGAAACGCTGATTTCAGCCGTTCTCAAGATAAGGCAGAAAGGGGATGTACCAGAGAATGACTGGCCAGTCTAGTAAAGCCGGTCAGAGCGCGTCGCACGGGTTTACGCAGTACTCACCAATGTCGTTCGGACTGAGTAGACAGACTGCGTGGCGTCAGCTGCGGTCGACTCTGTCAGCGTGCAGGGAACCCACCGACGTCGTTTTCCGCTGTTGCACGTCAGTAAACGCATTTCTTGCGGTAGTAGCACTCACAAATATTCCAGCGAGCTTTGAGCTCATTCGCGAAACCGAAGGTTCGGGCGCGTAACTAATGCACCCGACATAACGCGATATGAGCGGAGGCAAATCAAGCAAAGTTCAATAAGAACCGCGCATGATACGCACCTCTTCGTAACTGATCCGTCTCCCCGTAGCGTCCTCAATTAGCCAAGGAGTGAGGTCCTTTCTGATAGGCCGGAGTGGGTGGTGGTAGTCTAATATAAACTGGGGGATCGTCAGGTCGTCTGGGATAGGCGCAAGAGAGTCAGTGCGGATCTCAGCCATGGCTTCCAGCTGGACTCTGGAGTATCAAGGAGAGGGAGAAAGGACAAAGCAGCTAGCGAGTGGCGACCCCTTGGTTTTACGTCACGCCTGAAACGCCTATTGAGCTCGGAGCTCGGCTATCCGCCACCCAGAGCTCGTAAGAAATCATGACACCGGTTTGTCGCGACGACATACATATTCCTGCCGTACTTCCCCATGTCCGATCGTACTTCTTGCGCACACCCACACCCACTCCGCGCTCTCACCCGGACACCCAGACAAGCTACTTGCGTGGTACGTATCGCATCCACACGGATCTTGTCCTGCAGCGGGCTTGCCGCGGAAGCAGGGCTGCATTTCAGGCGGGTCTGGGCATCTGCTGAAAGCAGTATGCCGATGCATGATGCATGGAGCCAGGCCCACAAGCGACGCTCAGGACTCGCGCAGTATAACCGGTTCTCAGGCTCAGTTAGTCTACATTCAAAACCACCTTAAACTCAAATATCATGGCTCTCTTCGAGGCCCAGCCACCGCGCCCCGGCCAACGTCCGTCGCTTTCTGCCCATTCATATACCACGCAGTCAAACTCAACGCCCCCGGAGGAAGAGGGAGATGGACCAGACAAGAAACGGAGACGTGTGCAGCGCGCTTGCGACATGTGCAGGCTGAAAAAAGGTACGCACATATCTTGTCCATATGCAGGATGGATCTTCTAACACGGAGATCGTCGGCTATTGTCTTGCAGTCCGATGTAAGCTTTGCATATGATGTATCGTGAGTAGCAATTTATAATTCGCAGGTGAAGGGGGGAGTCCATCTCGGAAAGCGTGCAATAACTGCATCAACGGCAAGTACGATTGTACCTATGTCCAGACTGCCAAGGTACGCTGGTTGGCGAATAAGCATCATCCTAGAATAAATCATTGATTGTGGCGCATGCAGGTGGAGGCACGAGACAAGGCGTACGTGCTGACATACCCCTAGAAACCCACCCATGATCTACTTACTATGCATAACATAGCTACGTTCAAAGTTTGGAGGCCCGGCTAGTTAAAATGGAGGAGCTATTACGCAAGGTGCGAGTTCGTGTGCATACCCCAGCAAAGCCGGTATCTAAACGTCGTGTAGGTCATGTCCGAGGGTGACTTGTCCCGCAGTTTATCAGATTCAATTGACCCGGGACCTAGCACGAGCTTTGGGCCGCCGCCCAAGCAGCCAGTCACGCGTCGTGTGACCCCTCCTGTAGACGGTGTGGACTCTGATGACGAAGAACTCGCCGTTAGACAGACTTTGGAAGAAAAGTTCAAGCACATCTCGCTCGATCCTGGAAAACAGCATTTCATCGGAAAGTCATCCAACCTCATGTTCATTCAAACAGCTCTAGAGTTCCAAGAGGGAAGCAGCTCTGAGAAGAAGTCAGACAGTAGTCGAGACCAGACGCCTTCAACAATGCCTCCATTCTTTGACTCTACTGCGGTACGTACGTGTTGTTTTGGCGTGGATTTCTAGCGCTCATGGATGATACCAGTGGTTCTCCCGACACTCTCAGAAGCAACACCAGCTTTCTTTTCCAGACAATGACCTTCTGCATTCGTTACTTGCCACCTTCTTCACCGACATGAACGTATATTTCCCGGTACTGCATCGACCTACTTTTGAGCGCGCCATTGCAGAAGAGCTGCATTTGCGAGACGAAGGCTTTGGTTCGGTTCTCCTACTTGTGTGCGCCCTTGGCGCTCGATCCTCGAAAGATCCGCGAGTGTATGCAGACGGGAAGCACAACCCACAGGCAGCAGGATGGGAGTGGTTTAATCAGGTTCAGCAGACGATGAAGGTCATCAACATGGAACCGCCAAGCCTTTACGACCTCCAGGCGGCATATGTAGGTGGTTATCGTGAAGGATATCTAGCAGGCACTAACTTGGGTGCTGCCAGCTTGCATCCATGTTTTTGTATGGCCTGACGTCACCACAATCATCCTGGCCAATCCTTGGATTCGGCTTTAGACTTGCACAAGCTATTGGCGCTCATCGGCGGAAGGACGAACGCGTACCATGGCTCAAGAGCCTTCAGCATCTCGATGGCTTTGTGAACGTAGCGGATATCCTTCGTAGCATTCGCGAAAATGCCAGTGCCCTTTGCCCCCCAATTATTGAGCAGCAAGACCATGCCAGAGGCGAACAATCCGTTAATCTGTGGTACCTGCGGAAAGGCGCTGTCAGCGACGGTCCACACATGCGACACTAGTAAGGCCCACCTGGTAGCTGTCGGTCACACGAGCACGCTTGTACTGCTCCCACATCACATGCAAACATGAGCGTGCCGCGTTGGTGCATATTGCGAGCGATGGCAACGAGGCAGGTTGCGACCGACGTTGCGAGAGGAAAGGCCGGTGTATGCTTATTTGCAGATTATAGTAGCTCGAGTAGAGCAGAACTGACTGGTTGAAGAATATTGGGTTCTTCTGCTTGGGATCGAAGCGCACTGTAGAAATAACACTATGTGAATTCGGATCCACAAGGAAAATAGAAGCTTTAGCGAACTGACAGTGCTCGGGTAACGAGTCCACCCATGAATTAAGTGCTGAATCTAACTCGATGACAGTACGTTCTTCCCAATCTGTGCCGAGTCGGCCTGCCTGACTTTTCGACTTGCTCGTCGAATACTGGGAAGAATCCAGTCAACGTCAAGCAACAGCCACAAGAAGTCAAGTAGCACATACGATGGTCTGCATTGCATGGGAAGTAATTTGACTGAGCTTCACTGCGACGTTGAAGTAAGCCAAGACCGAGGGCTGGCCTTCCGGCTGCTTGAAGTCCGTGGCAGGGTCTCCAGTGTCCCAATATTCGTCATCGACCTCCAACGGAAGCTCGCAGTCGAAGCTGAAGCTGTTATCGGCTTGCATGGCAAGTAGAGACGAATACTACGTACTCTTCTTCCTGTATTCCGGTGGGCCGGCCCAACGCCGCACCCAAATCACGGTCGGTTTTGATGAGAAGCCTGGGTCAGAATGAGCGCGCTCGTGGATGACATTACATGAGATGGTCGTACCAGAACGCGCGCTTCAATAGCTCTCCCTGAGCACGGTCAATGCCGCTGTAGACCGTTGCTTGTGGTACACATCCGCTGACGGGCAGGCGAGTATAGGTGGCATTTCGCTGGTCGCTTAGGGTAAGTCGGGAGCTTGTATCGGCCAATGTAACGCTCACAGTATGCCAGCGATGCATTGAACGAACTCGTGCGCGCAGGGGATCTGCTGCCCCCTGAAGAGAACGACTGCAGCAAGACGAAGCTCGACGCTAAAGGCAAGGGTAAAGGGAACGTTCGCGAAGCTTCGATAAGCTCCGAAGCTTCCGAGACTCTACGCGACTCTCAGAGCCCTGCATCGTCCACGCTCTCAACCTTTCCGGCCTCAAACAAGGTGAAATATGATGGTTCTGCGGAGAGTTACGAATACCTGCCAGTCAGAAGCGAAGACTTGGGTCGTCAACCATACCAGTACGAGTATAATCGAGGTATGCCCGGATACCCGACCAATGATTACGGCCAATATCCCGGAGCCCCTGCGTGGGGCTTCAGTCCGACCAACACTGTTCCACAGGACACTACAGTCTTCAATAGCCCGTTTAATGGCGATCCCACAGCCTCGGATGGCTTCATGCGGACTCTCGCGACAATGGCCGGCGCAACAGTGGCTATTCATCAGCCCGGAGGGTTTATGCAGGCTGCGCAGAGCGTGTCGCCATCAGACGTTTCGAACGGCGAGAATATGCTCGGGATGTTGTCGAATCTGTCAGGAAACATGCAGTAAGTGCCACTACCCCCTGGCCAGAGTGCGCAGCTGATGTTTGACCTGCTGCAGATGGGACGAGTGGGGAAACTACCTCGCAAATCTACAGCCGCAGGACAATCATCAGTGGCAGGGACGATGAGCTCGCGTGCTTGGTCTATGTTCCGGTTCATGTTTATGAACGAACGCTGTTGTTTGCTATCCCGCAGTACATATCCTGTGCATAATTTACCCATCTGCTGGGATGTCTTCTGCTGCGTAGCCAACTGAAGATTTCGAGGTACCCGGTGCTGATACGGCATATAAATCTTTTGGACTTAAGGGGAAAGGAAATTTGACGGCTTGCGCAGTAGACCAACGAAGTGTCCCGGCTCCGGACTGCGTACCGTACGTGGCTTAAGGCTTTGAGGCATTATCGGATTTCCAGAGACGATACTCATTCTTCTCTGAGTTCATGCACGAATACAACACGCTTGTGCGTGGTATGTGAGATGTGTTTATACTGTCATTTGCACTGTGAACGCTGTGCATGACTGTACTGCGCTCGAGCCGTTGGGGAGGTGCTGCGAGATTGAATCGGGGCGAACGCGCGTCGCGACTTACATTACATGCGGAAGTTGCCGAGCGAGATCCAAAGCGACTGCGGAGGCGCTGTGCGTCCTCTGACCCGTATTTATACTCCAGACGAGCCACAGTATTCCACATACCCCCTTATTCTCGCCCGCCATGCAAGCAGGCACTCTCTTCAAGTTCACAAAGCCTCCAGACGGCCTCACTCGTCGGGTTATGTTCTATAAACAGCCCACTTGGGACGACCTCGCCGACAGGATCCAGAACCTCTACGGCATCCCTAAAGACAAAGTCGGCGTCTCCTACTTTGACGTCGATGGCGACGAGATCACCCTTAGCTCGCAGGATGAGCTCCAGGACTATTATAGTTTCAATTTCCCTACGATGAGAGGCTTCGGTCAGTCTGGTGACGCCATGAAGGCCATTCGCTTCACCGTGCGCGACCTTGGTGCCGTGCGCGACTCCGACCCAGACAAGCCGCTCCCGGGCACTCCGAGCACTGACTCCAACCTGAACGAGAACCGCAACACATTCGGAGTCACAACCCAATTCCCGAGTGTCTTTGACTCCGCTGACGATTGGGAGCCCATCCCTGCTTTCCCTCCCGGGGCATCGTCGAACATGTTCATCCCCATCATCCCAGAGGAGAGCCCTGCCCCCCACGCTTTCCTCGAACCCGTCGAAAGCGACGTGGGTACTGCCGCGAACGATGACGACAAGGACACCGCCTCGTCTGTCACCGAGACCGCCACGTACTACGGCATGCTGTCTAAGGTCGACAAGGGCAAGCAGAAGGCTACTGTTGAGGACGTCCCTGACGACGGAGACGAGATTGCCTCCACTGCGTCCGTCATTGCCTCGAACTCCCCCGAGAAGCCGCCTATCCATGTCGCCAGCCATGTCAGTTCCGAGAACATCTTTGGGGCGCGCAAGGTGACCAAGCCTTCCACCGAACCCGATGCCACTCCCAAGCCAGTCGAGACGGAAGTTGTTCCGGAGGTGGATGACCCTCCCCTGCCGGAGCTCGAGGACATCCAGGCGACCTCCAATGCTAATGCATCTCTCGCGAATGACGTTGCCAGACTTCTCAATACGTTCTCCTCTGTTTTGGCAACGCACCCCGAGCTGTCCGAAGGAGTGCGAAATATCGTGCGTAATGCCACAAACGGTGTCTACTGGACTGCGCACAGAGAAGCCGTCGCCCGGGCTGCGGATGAGGTTAGGAGGAGCGCGGAACAGAGCGTCCAGGACGCGCGACATGTTGCAGAAGAAGCCCACCGTGCCGCAGAGCAAGCTGCAGGACATCGCGTAGCGGAAGCACTTGGTAGCATTGCGCGTACCATCAACCAGTATACCGGGCAGCCGGCTCCTGAAGCGACTACCTCCAACAATGACCCTGTCACGTCCACCCCAGTGACTTCGCGTAACCCGCCAGCCGGCTCGCAAAGGCGACCTATCCCTCCGCGTAGGCCCGCTTGGCGTCACAGCTGGTTCGGACCTGGAGACTCTCACAACAACTCGTTCGACCCTCATTTCGAACCGTTTTTTTCCAACGAGGGTGATCTGCACAGGCCTTCCAGGTCATTGTTTTACCCTCCATCGCTTCCGCCTGGGCCATACGCGCCCCCTCCTCCACCGCCGCCGCCTGTCGCGCGATTCCCGCCTCCTCCCGCTACTGCCGGCCCGTTCCCGCCTCCTCCGCCTCCTCCCCCCGGTAGTATGGCATTTGCCATACCGCCAATGCCTCCTCATCCTATGCCTGGAGCATGGCAACCTACGTTTGCTACCGGATTTAGGCGTGCCTGGGGAACAGCTGACACAACTCTTCCTCACGCTACTACTGAGCGTGCTGTGCCTTCTAAGACGCCCGCCGCGCCCCAGGGACAGACCGAGCCAGTAATGTCGGCGAAGGATGCCCTGCAGGCAGCTAAGGAGAAGTACAAGGCTGAGAAAGAGCGGTACAGGCGCGAACGCGAGATGCGGCGATTGCAGAAGAAGCGGATGATGAACTCTTCGGGCGAAACGGAGAGGTACGCCAAATCCGAGCCCGACGACGACGATACCGATTCTGATGTGGACGTCGGCGAAAGCAGCCAGCCGTTGTTGAACAAGGACGGGGAGAAGGGCGAGCCTGACTACACGGAAATCAAGGGCCCCGCTGAAACTAACGTTGCCAGCTCCCCCGTTCATGCCGAAGAGCCGTTCACACAGCTCGTCAGCAACGCACACAGAGGGTTTCCCCAGCTTGAGATGTTCTCGCTGAGCCCGCGGAGGCACCATACGGTGCATGGTACCGGTCGTCACGGTCACCATGCCCAAGGCCGACCTGTATCCTTGTTCGTTCCTCCCCCTCCGCCGCCTATTATCTCGGTATCTTCCTCGGCGGGACCATCACCACGAATTCATAATCCGTTCACGACACAGTTGCCCACTGATCGGGTAACACAGAGCGTCACGCGTAGGCTCGCTGACGTACGTCTTCCTTGATATTTACTTCATACATCGCTGATCACAAATTCATAGATGGGTTTCACTGCGACGGTCTATCCCAATCTCCCGTCGAAGGTGACCGCTCAGGTCGCTCGCATGGAGTCAACCCGCAATGCGTCTGGTGACAGCGATGTTTCTCGTGATGCAGAGGACTCAGTTGTTGCTGAAGTTGTGGAAGAGCTTTTATCCGCGCCCGCACCTGCACCTGCACCCGCACCCGGTCCTTCTGGTACTCGGGCTGGTAATATGAAGAGGAGGAACACGACGGTTCCGGGCAGCTGGAATTAAGAAAGAAATTCTTCAAGGTCATTTTGGGATCACTTGTCTTCGGCTTATCTGTGCTCTATCGTATGTTTAGTGTATTTGTAGCCCGGCGTATGATTATACTGTAAGTACTAGCTTGCTCTTGAACTCGGATGTCAGAATCCAATATATACGCGTTACCTTATACTCCCCTTCGTCAAGGTGCGGAATCAGTCGGCGATGAAGTAGAAAATGAGGTTTATGATTTGTGTTATGGTATCTGGCAATACTGTAGTCGACCCGCGACCGTAGTGGGTCACCATCAACAAAGGATAGATTTCGTTAATGGACGGGAAGGAAACATCTGCCACATTCTCTTCATGAAATAACCAACGTAAATATTTTGGACATTATGAAGACATCGAAGACGATGGGCAAGCCGTACGCAAGTGCGGCAGTATAGATGCTTGCAAACAGCGTAACGAAGAACTCTAGCCTGGCGTATTTGACGTTGTGCTTGAGGATACAGCACACTTATGAAGAAAGTTGAGCAAATATTTAACTGGAAAGCGCGGAGAAAAACGTACAATACAAATAGCCAGGCAACATGCTGGTAATCGCAGGCGAGGTGCGCGAGTCATGCGTGGCGATGGCAAGGTAAAGCGATGCGCACGTCCTGGAAGAGCGCTTAGCTGCATTCGTCTTCACCTGACAGAAGGAACTTACTCAAAGAATTCCGCAACCCAAGGGCTCACCCTGCACAGGACCAACTGGACACACCCCAACACAAATGATCCAACCACCGCACGGAGAATGTCGTCCATCGACCCACCAAACAAAACCAGGCACATTACACCAGCGAGCACTGAAGCAAAGCCGATGTACACCACGGGATAGTGCATCGCCGACTTCGTGCACATGTGCGCGAGCCTCCTGCCGGCCTCGGGCACGCGCACGCGCTGGTCGACAACGGCGTCGTACATCCGCTGGACCTCGCTCAGACCCTGCGGGACCGTACGTCGCAAGAGCGGGCTCGCGACACGGACGTACGGCCGTTCGCCGACGCGCTCGCTGACGAAGCAGGTGAGCGCGCTGGCGTTGCGCGCCACGGTAACCCGGACGTCGAACGCATGAGACGCGCGAAGCGCGAAGTCCTCGAGCGCATCGAGCGAGACGCCGTAATGCGTGAATGCATGAATAAAGAGGAGTAGCAAGTCTTCACGCATCCTCTCAGCTGAGCAGGCAGACATCAACATTGGGAAGGGAAGTAGACAAGGTGGTATTTACTCACGGACATGCATGAGATAATCGCGGGACAACTTGACGCACCGCACCTTATACACTTGCGCAGTCATTGCGCCCGGGGCGTCAAGGAACATCCCGGACTGCATGGTCGCAGGTGCAGACGACCATCTCTGCGCTTCTGGTCGTTTAGCAACCTTGGCCTTACGGCGGTCGACTGCAGAGCGGTGGCGCAAAAGATGGTCGACCGGGCGCATAGCGAGGGAAGCCATGATTTACACTTGACAGAAAAATGTGATGATGAGACTTAGATATAAAACTGGCTTCAAGGAGAGAGTAAGAGGCAAAGACAAGTTTGATTCTGCTGGCACTAATGCCAGGAATTTATACCTTTTCCCGAGGCATTTCTTCTGGGATATCCCGCATATGCACCTTCCTTCTGCGCCGACAGCCGACACGGGGCATCCTGGTATAGACGTGAAACGTCGGAATAGATGGCGGAGCATGTTTTGAAGGACGGCATACACAGTCTCGATCGTCGTCATTCGGGGCGTCGGTCTCGATTGAAACGACGAACAAGAAGATCCACTGTATCGAATAATTGAGGCAATACGGTCTGTTCGAAGGCGTATATTTTAATCGAGACCAACCTCTTAGACCCTCGCACGTTCACAGCCATGCGGTAGAGAGCACAAGGGCTGCTGTCAAACTATGGAATATCCATAGCTTGTGTGCTTATGGTACTGCGTCTCGTATCAGAGTTTAAATTTTCTATAGAGACTAGCTGATGCTTCTTTCGCCCCCAAGAAGCGTAGGAAATGCCAGGTGATGGCTAGTCGGGAGACTGGTAGTGATGAAACTTGAGCGGCGAAGCATGTGCAGAGCGCTTCTAGCGGCGCGTAGACGACAGTCGCAGCGTGGTCAATTAGACACAATTCGTTTTTGCTATGCTCGTGTGTCTCGGTACGAGTGGGGATTTGCTGCAAAGGTCCTTGAATTGGCGGTTCGCTGCATGCTTCATGTTCAAGTGGATGCAGTCAGATGGCGAAGACAAACACGAGGAATCGTATAAAGGACGAGAAAGACGAACGTAGTGGACTTAGCTTAGCTCACTTCGTTCCCCGCCCCACTTGCCTCACCATCTCGAGCTTTCTGATGATGCGTGCCGCTATTATCCTCATCCTAGCCGCATTCCTCGGTGCCGCCCAGGCTCATGTCCTCGGTCGCCAGTCCGGGGGCTGCAACTGTGCAGGTTAGACTCTTCAGCATAAGAGTCCCTACCGGTTTATTGACACGACTCATGCATAGGTACATCTTACAGCTCGTCAAACATAGAAGAAGCCATCGACCAGGCTGAGTCTGGTGGCGGGGGGTGAGCTTATTGTCTTTCATGGGTGAGCTCAATACTGACCTCACGCACCAGCGACTATCCTCACCAGTACCACGATTATGAAGTACCCTTCAAATTACTCGTTGTTTCAAGCACTTAACTGATGAGCAAGAAAATCAGGGCTTTTCGTTCCCCTCTTGCAGCGGTGAACTCTTCGAGTACCCTCTGGAGACAGGCGATGCATACACGGGAGGTAGCCCAGGCGCTGACCGAGTCATCTACGACCAAGATGGCGACTACTGCGGTCAGCCATTGACGACGTTGCATATATGTTTGTCTAACTGGAACTGTGACAGGTTGCATTACTCACACGGGTGCCAGTGGCGATAACTTCGTTGCGTGCGACTTCTAGGCATGTCGTACACTGGGACGGGAGACACTCGCAGAATCGAAACTCACTGAGAATCGCTACATTACTGCATGGTACCATGAACCAAGTGTCACGACATTATAAGAATATGATACATACAACGGCACGATCAGTATTGAAGGCGGAACATGAACTGGAAGCTGTATTGTTTTGTATCGGGATCCCAGTGCGACCAGTTCCAATATCCCGCATCGTCGGACTCGTCTTCTATTTCGCGGGCGGGGATACGGAAAGCAATAGTTTCGTAGGGCTCTGCAGCAACCTTGATGTATACTATCAGTCTCCTTCGTGAAACGTTAAGCTAAACGCGTCGCTCACGATGAGGTACTGGTACGCCTTGTTTGGTGGTTCCCTCTTTTGCTCCCACGCACTCATGAACCGTCTGCGAGGGATAACACCAGGCTTAATCTGCGGTAGATGGACTTGCACCATCATGCCCTCCTTTCCAGTGTCCCTATCCCTCACCTTCGTGACGCGGTAACCGGGACGTCCAATCTTCAAGAAGACCTTGCGTGGGACTTGGTTTTGGGCATTGGGTGCAATCATGAGCTGGGTCTCCTTAAGGTCCCGTGCCGCACGTCTGGCAAGGTTTGTCTGATGCTTCTTTCCTTGTGTGTGAGCAAGGTAGGAGCCTTCATTTGTGTGGAGGGTGAGGCAGAGACGGCATTCTAGTGAGCCAAGGTGGTTGCGAAGGATATATGGGTCCTAAGAGAAGCTAAGCATCACTAATACACAAATAGTATATGCTAGGTACCTTAGCCAAGTCAATTGTTTCCAATGCGAGCTTCCTCAACCGCTCTCGCCTGTCGACATTGGTCTCGGAGGCACCCGCGACACCACCACCTCCGAACTTTGAACCTACGCGATTCTAGGGCCGCATGAGAAGACGGTTTTCGTATGTGAAGCGCAAAAAAATACCTGGTAATCTAATAGATGGTCAGCTTGTCAGTGCATGAACGAAGGGCGTGGCACATACCCATTGTTGAGGAGACTCGTGGACAAGTGAGAGTGCTACTAGACGCCTCTTATTGGCGGGGATGATTTTGCTGATGTAAGAACTTTTGATCGGATCGAGATTCAAATTGTACGGGCGAACGGGTACTTGGCAAAATTCTGGTCCATTACAGGCATCTCTGCCCTATACCATCCCCTCGCTTTGGACCATCAAACTTGCACTAGGGACTACTGCTTGCTTGTCGATCCTTAAAATTACTTTACACCATGGCTGCTGGTACGAAGCGCGCTAATGATGACTCTACAGCCCCCAAAGCGAAGAAGACCAAGGTCGACCACAGGTCGCGGAAGCGGCAGTCTCTGGCAGAAAAATCTGCGCAACCGGCTTCTAATACACTGGCAGAAGAAGTTGACTTCCCACGGGGAGGAGGAACGAGCTTTACGCCCATAGAGGTTAAGGCCATCCGTGCAGAAGCCGTGAAAGAAGCTAATGAAGAGCTCTTCAAAGTAAGCACGCTTTCCGTGAATGCTGGTGAAACCACTAAGTAGCTGCGTAGGAGAACGCTGTGAAGGCGTCTCATCGTGAAAAGCGAAAGTCTGAGCCTAAGAAGAAGGTCAAGAAGATTACTGCCGATGGCAAGCCAGACACCCTAGTGCGCGTTGAGCACCTCAACTACAAAGTGCGCCCTGTATTCCACTGCTGCAGATGCACCTTCTGACTATGACTCAGAGGATTATTGTCGGCATGAAGATATTTGGACAAGTCATGTCCGTCGAGCCTCTTGCGCTCATCGTGTCTTTGCCCAACCAACTACTTGCCCATATCCCTATCACGAATATCACCTCGCAGTTGACGAGCCTCTTGGAATCTATGGATGATGAAGAGCCAGAGGATGTATCAGACGAAAGCGACGAGGAAGGTCCTAGCATGCGGCGCCAGGTACCCGAGCTTTCCGAGATATTTCGTCCAGGCCAGTATGTCCGTGCGGTCGTTACCGCAGTCCATACAGCAGGTTCTACGGATACCGTAGGTTTCAGCAGAACGCGTGATGAATCTCAGAAGGCTAGCCGACGAGTTGAGCTTAGTCTCTTTCCAGATAAGGTTAATGAAGGCGTAGCAAAAGCAGATGTTAAAGCTGGATTTGTGAGTGCTTTAGTACAAAGAAGTAATAAGCTTGTCTGAAATTTAATTAGGCGTGTTCCGCTGCTGTCAAGAGTGTGGAAGATCATGGCTACATCCTCGACATGGGAATATCAGATATCTTAGGTTTCCTAACATTCAAGGATGCCCAACGATCTCGTGTCGGGGAAATGCGACTATCTATTGGTCATTTGTTGGATGTATGCGTTACGAAACTTTCCAGCAATGGTCGTACTTGTAATGTCTCTATCAGCCCGGAGTTCGTCAGGTCGACGTCTGTACGTTATTTCATTGCGCTGCGCGTCGACAATCGTTCACATAGATCTTGCAGCTTACTGAGGTTTCGAACACGACTTCCGTCGTTCCCGGTTCTCTTGTCTCCGCTCTCATTACTTCTGTTCAGCCCACAGGCTTGAACTTGCAGGTACTCGGCTTCTACAACGGTACAATTGACCAATTCCATCTGCCGCCAGGCGATGTCGAGGAGAACTTCAAAGTCGGTCAGAAAGTAAAAGCAAGGATTCTATACGACATAGCCCCCTCTACGCCATCCCGTTTTGCGCTCTCCCTGGCGGATCACGTAGTATCTATGACGGACAAATCTGTCGATGTCTCAGAAGACGCAAAGCAAACATCTCTGCACGAGGCATTCACTATTGGCGTACCTGTCGACCCTATGAAGGTTATTCGCGTGGAACCAGAACGAGGGCTAATTGTCGAAGTGACACCCACTGTTGAGGGTTTCGTGCACATCTCGCAAGTGTCGGACGAACATGTTCCGATGCTCTCAGCAAGCTCTGGTCCTTGGAAGGTCGGCACGATGCACAGGGCTCGTGTGACCGGCTACCATCCCTTCGACGGTCTCCTCCAGTTGTCCATGAAGCCCTCTGTTCTCGAACAGAAGTTCCTGCAAGTGGGAGAGGTTAAGGTTGGGGAGGTCATCAAGGGCACAGTCAAGAAGCTCACCGACTCGGCACTATTCGTCTCAATATCTGGCAATGTGGATGGTGTCATTTGGCCGAACCACTACGCCGACATTCATTTGAAACACCCTCAGAAGAGGTTCAAACCGGGAGGGAGCATCAAGTGCCGCGTAAGTAGTTACTGTAAGCCCACTCATGACCGTCACATCAATTCTTTTGCTAGATCTTGGTGGTCGATCCCGAGCGAAAGCGCGTCGTTCTTACCGCCAAGAAGACCCTAATTGACTCGTCCTTACCCATCGTAGCAAGTCTAGATGATGTGAAGGAGGGTCTCGTCACCCATGCGGTCGTTTTCAAGGTGTCAGAAAAGAGCCTGCAGGTTGAGTTCTACAACAACCTAAAGGCAATTGTGCCCATTCGAGAGGCCAGGTGGGGCTACATTCGCCGCAGTGCTACCCTCATTCTTATAAAATAATCTAGTGAGACTACAATCTCGTCGCTCTCTGCAGCCTTCCCATTGGGCAAGGTCGTTCAAGTCCGCATAATCTCTTGCAACGCGGAAACGGGACGTATCGTATCCAGCATTCGCCAAGCTTCGGCGAACTTCAAGGCTGCTATCACCGCTATTCAGGATGTCGAGATTGGTCATTCAGTCGAGGGTGTTGTCTCTGAGATTCAGAAGGAGAAGGCCATCGTCACGCTCAAGCCGACACAAGTTCGTGCGCTGCTTTCTCTCAACAACCTCGCCAACAGGCGCGGTATCGCTGTGGCTCAGCTCAGGAGCAGTCTCAAAGTTGGAGACAAGCTGATGGACCTCGTCGTTACCTCCCGTAATCCAGAGAAAGGCTTCGTTCTTGTCGCGACCAAGCCGAAGGAGAAGGAGGAAGTTCTGCAGAAAAGCGCCCTCATCCTCGAGAGCGTTCAGATTGGCCAAATCGTTGGTGGTCGTGTTATACGCCATATTCGCGCAGGTGCACTCGTAAAGCTCACTTCACGTATATCCGGTATCTTGCATCCGACGGATGTGTCCGACGACTATGAGTCAGGAACGCCTTTCCCTCCTGTCGACACCGTCTTCAAAGCCGCGGTCATTGGTATCGACACGGATAAGAGAACGCTCACCTTGTCCACGCGTCGTTCCGTCATGAACCCCTCAGTGCACGTACCTGTGGCTGATCCCGTCATTAACGACGTTTCGGATATGAAGGCTGGATCGACTGTCCGAGGCTTCATCAAGAGTGTGGCGGAGCACGGTCTCTTCGTCACCTTGGGCCGTAATATTGATGCACGGGTACAGATCAAAGAGCTTTTTGATGACGTAAGTTCTCGCTAGACAATAATACTCATCTCTCCGCACACTCACGAATTTATAGTTCGTCAAGGACTGGAAGAGTCGCTTCCAAGCTAACCAGCTCGTGAAGGGTCGAATTCTCAGGTTAGTTGCTGTCATGTGCAGAGGGTCAACCGATCTCACATATATTCTGCATTAGCGTCAATGTCGAGAAGAAGCAGGTTGAGATGTCCTTCCGCTCCTCAGATTCATCACGCAGCGCTCAGCTAACCATTAAGCTTTCCGACCTGTCGGAAGGCCAGAAAGTGGACGCCGTCGTCAAGAAGATTGCAGACTACGGTCTGTTCCTCGAAGTGGAGGGTTCGAAAGTCCGTGGGCTTTGCCACAAGTCTGAGGTACGTTGCTATCCGACAGAGGCGGGTCAAGCTAACGTCTACTTTAGCTCTCGGATAACCCAGCGGCCGATGTCACTATGGCTCTTCGCAGCTTCCGGGAAAGTGACAAGGTCAAGGCTGTTGTCCTTACTGTTGACAGTGAGAAGCGCCGCATCTCTTTCGGTCTCAAGCCCTCGTATTTCGTCGAGGAAGACTTCCAAGAAGCAGAATCTGAGTCTGGGGCAGAACAGGAGTCGCTGGGTGTTATAGACGAGGAATCTGATCGAGAGCATGTTGAGGGCATTGGGAACGAGGGCAGCGATGAAGAGAAGAATAAAGAGACCGTCAATGCCGAAGAGGTTGTGGATGAGGACGAGACAATGGACGTCGACGTCGACGTTAGCGGATCCTTGGTCGCAAGGAAGGGCAGCCAGACGAATGCCGGTCCCTCTGCCATTCGCAGCGTACTCAAGCTGGACGATGGCTTCCAGTGGTCTACTGTCCAGCAGGATGTGGATGTCGAGATGGAGTCTTCAGAGAAGGAAAGCGGGGACGAAGATCAGCCAAGCAAGAAGAGGAAGCGCAAGCATAAGGAGATCGAGCAGGATCTGACAGCTGATCTGCAGACGAAGACACCCGAGTCTAACGCGGACTTTGAGCGCATTCTCCTTGGTTCACCGAACTCGTCCTACCTATGGATCCAGTACATGTCCTTCCAAATACAGCTCTCCGAGATCGACAAAGCACGGGAGATCGCTCAGCGTTCACTGAAGACCATCAACTTCCGCGAGGAGCGGGAGAAGTTGAACGTATGGGTTGCATTGTTGAATCTAGAGAATGTCTACGGTACCGAAGAATCTCTCGAGGTTACCTTCAAGGATGCTGCGCGGCATAACGACTCGAAGACTGTCCACCTTCGCATGGCCGCTATCTTCGAGCAGAGCGAAAAGATTGAGGTGAGCACACATCTTGACACACAGAGAGGTAATATTAAACGAATTTGCAGAAAGCTGAAGAGCAGCACAGGCGGACGGCTAAGAAATTTGGCCACAGTTCCAAAGTTTGGACGTTGTTCGCCGAGCACTACTTGCGTCGTGGCAAACTCGAGGATGCGCGCGCGCTCCTTCCACGCAGCCTTCAGTCCCTCGAGAAGCAAAAACGTGAGTGCACCTGAGGCTGAGGATGTCTAACCGCGACTAATCTTCGTGCAGACTTGAAAACTATCTCCAAGTTCGCACAGCTTGAGTACAAGCTCGGTGATCCAGAGCGAGGCAAGACCATCTTTGAAGGCGTTATGGAATCGCATCCGAAGAGATGGGATATCTGGTCAATATATATTGATATGGAAGCTGGCCAGGGGGACATCATGAATCTTCGGTACGTCGTGAGATCACGTTCATATTTTTTGCATGATGCTAATGCTCTGTAGAAACCTCTTCGATCGAGTCCTTGCGCAGAAAATGACGAGCCACAAAGCAAAGTCATTTTTCAAGAAATGGCTTGAGCTGGAGCGGAGGATAGGAGATGAAGAGGGTGCGGGTATCGTGAAGGCAAAAGCTATTGAGTGGACACAGCGGGCAGCAGGCGAAAGTGCATGATCAAGACGATGCAATGATATTTAATCCATATGCTACTCATAACGATGATATCGAAAGGATGAGATGCTGAACTACTAAGTGCAAAAGACCACATACAGCGGGGAGCAAAGAAGATGGTAACTGACGTAAGATATGCAAAAGGAGAGGACGGGACAGACCGGACCAGGGTATATGCCTATAAATAACAGAATATTACGAGCGAGCAAACGTTATGAGCGGGACCTTGCTCGTTCGTGACCCAGGGTGTGGGAGTCGTATTCATTCAGCGGCCGGCGATTGCTCATCGAGCTCGCGAGCTGCTGCCGCCAATCATCCAGCTCGCTTGACAGGTTCTCGAATGCGATCGCATTCTCCGAGCTCGACGTGCTGACTCTACGCTCCGAGATGCCCGATATTGGTCGCCCCGACCCAAAGCTCGGCTGGTCCACTTCGAGGAGCAAACCGATTTTATGAGACAGCTGCTCATTTTCGCGTTTAAGAGTTGTGTTCTCGTTGCTGAGCTGCTCCAGCAGAGTCTCGTCGTGGCCGCCGCGGGCGATGATCAATGACTTCTGCAGACGTTCGATGTCCTGTTCAAGCTCCTCAATGCGGAGCTGTCGTTCATCGGCTTCTCGTTGAGAGGCAATGACACCGTCGCGCATGTGTTCGAGATCACTTTCCAAAGACTCGATACGCAGACGGAGGTCACGGTTATCACCGTTAAGCCGCTGCACTTGTCGCTGGGCGTCGCTGAGTTGGTTACGAAGAATTTCGTTGCCGTGACTGTCATCGGAGGACGGTGTGCCACGACCGTTGATCGCGCGGATACGAGAGCCCCCATCAATACTGGCGGACCGGTCCAACTCGCCCTGCATGCTCTGGTTCAGTGTCTTTTGTTTCGTCAACTCGTCCTTCATCTTGCGCATCATCTTTTCCGTGCCCCTAGTATCACCATTCCTGTGAGTATGGGCACAAAAAGGTGGTCACATACCCAGACCACTTACTTTACATAATGGACTGCCAGCTGATAGTCGTCCTCGAGCTGCTGCAGGCGTGCCTTGTAACTCTGCTCGACTTCCTCGAGTTTGCGCTCAAGTTCTTGGATACGGCTATCGCGGTCACCCTCGACAGTGTTGCGCCTGGAGGGAGATTGCATGCGGTCGAGTTCAGCCGACAAGCTCTCAACTCGAGCTTCGGCATCGCGTTTCTCTTGTAGAGCAAGCTGAAGTTCGCGCTCCGCCCTCTCATGC